GGGTTCGATTCCCGTCATGGGTACAATGTGTGAAGCCCATTTCTGGTGTCCCCCGCCGTGATGTTGCTGGGATATTGCTAAAAGCGGCGTAAAACCATAACACTCACTCACTCACTCTTAACTGATTATATTCTTGCTGATATTGTAGTTGATTAGTGTCAGATTTCTTTAGTTTAGATGATGTAAGATCCACCTGTGGCTTTACCATTTGCCAATCAGGAGAAGAAAGCAGGCGTAAAGGAGATATATTCTCGAGCTCAACTCCTGCAGCAGAAACGAAAGGTTTAATTCTGATTCCTAGTGGTGGAATAAGGGATGACTTTTTATTGAAAAGATCCTCATAAAGACGATTAGCTGGATTGAACTTATTTGAATATAATTTAGTTATGTATTGTAATGCTAGTTTTATACGGCGCTGTTTAAGACAAGGTTCATCAGCCTCAATGTACAAAATGTCAATAGGAGATGTTCTAAAAGATCCAAGACAGAGTCTTAGGCCTTGGTGGTGGATTGAATCTAAAAGTTTAAGTTTGCTTTTACAGGCTCCACCATAGATGATGGAGCCATAGTCAAGTTTAGAACGGACAAATGATCTATATAAATGAAGGAAGGTCGTCTGATCTCCTCCCCACTTGGAATTAGAAACGACCTTAAATAAATCTAGTGCCTTCAGACATTTAGATTTCAAATATTTAATATGTGGTAAGAAAGTAAGGTCATGATAAATAATTCTTCCTACAAATTTAGCTTCTTTTACGACTTGAAATGGAGATCCAGCTAGATGTAATTCTGGGTCCTTATGCGGTTTATATTTTCGACAGAAGTGGATACAATTAGGTTTAGATTTAGAAAATTTAAAGCCATTCTGCTTTGCCTAATTATTGATTTTATTTAGACAAAGTTGCATCTGTCTTTCAATCGTGTGCATATTTTTACCTCGACATGATATATTAAAATCGTCAACAAATAACAATCCATCAACGGAGTCATTCAAAACCTTAGCTAAACTACTAATCTTTATACTAAACAACGTTACTGATAAGATGCTACCTTGGGGGACACCTTGATCTTGGTCTAAAAATCAGACAAAATTTCATGTTTCCAGGTCGTATGGTATGCTTTTTCTAAATCGAAAAATATAGATACGGTGTGTTGTTTATTGATGATAGCATTTTTAACAAACGATTATAACCTAACCTAATGGTCAATAGTACTTCTATTTTTCTGAAACCACATTGAATATTTGTAATGAGATTATCATGAGCTTGCCCTAAGGCAGTATTTAGCTCATGAATGGAAAATACTTCATTAAAATCCTAACCATTATCAGATTTAAAATTAATTTTCTTTCTTCTTGTTCTTTAAATTTCTGAAATTTAGGGGTATAATTTGATGAGGACGAATGTTTACTTAAAGTTTCTCCTAATGTGTTTGCTATATCACATTTATCGGTCAATAGTGTGTCACCCTCCTTGAGGTGATAAACATTTGATTTTGATCCGTTACCCTTTATCCTTTCAACCATATTCCACACTTTAGACATTGGTGTTCTGGAGTTCAATTTGGATACAAAGGTCCGCCAAGAGTGGCGTGTATTTTGCTTAAATGTGCGACGAGCTTTTGCTTTTAACATTTTAAATTTATATAAGTTATGGACAGTTGGGTGGTGGCGGAAATATTGTTCTGCCTTTTTTCTAGCTTTCCTAGCTTGTTTACAATCAGTGTTGAACCATGGTTTACGAACATGTGGGTTTGTAGAGGACTTTGGAATACATTTATTGGCAATTTCATTTACCACGTCAGAAGAAAATTGAATAGGATCAATGAAGAAATCAGGATTTATTTTGTTTCTGTATAATGTTTGAAACAAAGGCCAGTTTGCCTTTGTAAAATTCCATCTCGTTGAAGGTGGAACATCAGGTGGAGTTATTGTTTTAATCATAGTTGGGAAATGGTCACTTCCACAAAGATCATTGTGTACCGATCATTCAAATTCGTTGAGAAGGTCAGAATCAGTTAGTGACAAATCGAGAGAAGAATGGGTCCCAGTTACAGGATGCAGATAAGTGCCAGATTCATCATTAAAGATGCATAGATCATTATTGCAGATGAAATCCTCAAGTATTTTACCTTTAGTGTTAGTGTTTGTACCACCCCAGAGGGGGTTGTGGCCATTTAGATCACCCATGATTACACAGGGTTTAGGGAGTTCATCATAGAGGGCTTCAAGATCTGACAGCCTGAGAGCTGATGAAGGTGGAATATACAGAGAGTACAGAGTAAAAACAACGTTCAAAGTTAGTCGCACTGCAACAGCTTGGAGATTTGTGTTAAGTGTAATTGGACTGGGGATAACACCATTCTAAACAATGATTGAAGATTCTCCAGTGGCCCTATCACCCGGAGGAGAAAAATATTGATATGCTTGAAATTGACGTAAGTTAAAATTATCTGTCTGCTTTAGATAAGTAGACAGAATGCTGATGGTTTTTAATCCTGGACTAATAAATGCAATTCATGAAAATTAGTCCTTAGTCCTCTACAGTTCAATTATATCACATTATTACAATAACCTATCTCTTCGGCGGATTGAACGGGGATCTACCCGCACTTTATTGGAGGGCGACAAGCTATGTGCCCTAGGATGGATGTTTTCGGACACATCCATGTCCTCCATGGATCAAAACTTATTAAAAAGTTTGATCGGATTTTCTGTCCCCTTTGAGGCTCTGCCTCTTTGATAATTTTTAGAAGATTCTGGTTTAGGTTTTGTTTTGCTTTTGAGAAGTTTCATATTCGTTTTAGAACGAGTGTGTTGAGCAGACAGAGATGATTGGTGTGAGTGAACTTGAGATAACAGCTGTGTGTTAGGAATAGATTTAGCGGTTTAAGTGGCCTGTTCAGTTGCGACAATTTGTGGTGTGTCAGTTTTAACCCACGTCAAATCAGGTTGACAGTTTATAGACGAAGTGGTTACTTTTGGGGTGGTTTCAGTAGGTGTTCTAGCGACAGAAACATAAGTTTCATTTCATACTTTGTCATCAACATTTTTTATGGCATCAGCAAAGCTAATGTCCCGGGTGAATTTAATTTTAGTGATTTCCATGTGTATTTTCCAAATTAGACATTCTTTGAAGAAAGATGAATGAATCCCTGGACAGTTTGCGCACTTTTTAAAATTGCTATCACAGTCCTCTGTTACATGAGTGGTCTCACTACAGTGAGCACATGTAGCGGGCTTCGTGCAGGTTTTGACTGCATGGCCGTACTTCTGGCATTTAAAGCATCTCAGAGGAGTTGGGACATAGGTGTCAACTGTTACATTGCAGGAACCTACCTTGATTGATTTCGGAGCAGTATGAGTGGAGAACGAAAATAGGTAAGTGTTTGTTTGAGTTGTTTCATTGTTTCTGCGGCTTGTAAATCGTTTTACATTGATAAACTCCTTGATCTTTCATTTCAGATGCAATGTCAAATTCACTCATATCAGCCAACAGTCGATCACGGTCTCTCACAATGCCTTTGCTGGTGTTCAGTGTTCTGTGCGCAGTGACAGAAACCGGGACTCCAACAAATATTTCTGTTGACATCAGGATTGTAGCTTGCTGTTTTCTATTGCATACAATCAATAGAGAGCCTGAACGCAAGCGTTTAATGCTTTTAACATCACCTGCTATGCCATATATTCCCTAAGAAATTACATAAGGGTTTAGCTTCAGAGGTCTCTTGTCTAGATTTTCAATTACTAGAAAACGAGGCCAGTATTCTACCGAGTTGGATCGACGGTGTTCAGAATCATCATTGTCAAGGTGACGTTTGTTTATTTTTTAGGGGGTTTCGTAATCCATCTTGAGTGTTTAAATGTTTCGTCATCCGAGTTCCCCATCAACCATGGCGTATCACAAGAACAATGCTGTGAACAAGTGGACCTCCGACTTGCAGCACCAAGGATACTCGGATGATATACTCAAGCAAAAACATTATAAAATCATTTTTTTCACCAGACTGGCCCATGAGCCCCCGCCTTCTGGGCGTAGGACTCTAGGCAAACTTCATACTTGAAATATATATATTTGAATTACATGTATTTGACATTGAATTGAGACATCAGTTATAATATTCAGGGCCAAACCTCAAGTAATATAGAATTCTGAAATATAATGTGTGCAAATACAATTAATAATGCACAGGGCTCGGCATGACCAGCCGATTGATAGGACCGGGCTCATCCTACTACCCGTCTAAGCGAAGTAAGGGTCAGAGTGGTGTATTGGGCAAAGGAACGCTATTCCTGGAACCAGTGCCCTCAACCACCAGAATCCCGTCCTCCGCCGACACAGGGGCGCAACCCACGGCAAACAGGCTGTCCAATTCGGTCGCCTTTTACAATCAGCAATGGGGTTCTGAGGACACATTCTACCCCGGGTCCACACGGGGGAAGATCTATTAGCGGTGTGGTAGTAGCAGTATATATATAGGTGTTATGCCTTTGCATACAAATTGTACATACGTTTGTTGTACTTGCACTTTTACGATGACATGTATTCAGCCAGGACAGGTAAATTAGTGATCCGCGTATACGATGACATGCAATCATCCACTGCAGGTAAATAAGTGATCCACGTACACGATGACATGCAGTCATCCACGGATGTAAATAAGTGATCCGAGTATACGATGACATGCTATGAACCAAGACAGGTAAATAAATGATCCACATATGGCATTTAGCCATGGCAGGTATATCAGTGGTCCACGGGTGCCATGCTTGGCATACTGTCAACCAGGCAAAGAAAGACACTATCAACAAACATGTAAGCATCCAATGTATTGTTGTAGACCTGCAGCCTGCGATTCGCAATCCGAGGAGAGGTTCCATAGTATGGGACGCACAGAGATTAAAAGCAATTACGTGATTCAAATAACGGTATCTTTGCGAAGGCAAATATAAACGTAAATATCTGTTGGTCAGCAGTTCCAAATCCAGTCCTGTTCTGTCAGCAAATGCCAGCCTGTAAAGCGTTGTGACGTCATGCTCGTCGTGTGCACTTTAAACCTTATCCGTGCAAGGGTCGCTTCATTTTCTGTAAGATTGAGCCGCACTTAATGTTGCTGAGTATCTCTACCTATCAAATTTGATGCAAAATAAAGTTTATTTATTGATGACAACTCCTTGTTTGACAGTTCATACGATAACAATCGGTACATCAACCCACTTATAACAACAACAACCAAACACAACCAATGTCACCTGACCCATCTCCTCTTTGGATCTTTGCAATAAATCTACTCTTGCTAAGGTACTAACGCTGTCGCTTTCAATGCGAATGTAGAGGTACCAAGTTCTGGATGACACAAACGTATTATGTTCCCAATCCCTTCAATGAACGAAATACAATCGTTTAAAAGCGGTTGGCATCTAGTTGAATATAAAGTAACTGTGGTTATTAATTTCACGAATACGCATTCTTTATCCTCACTGGACGTTAGTTACATGGCTGAACATTGGTTTGTGTAGAAACGAATCTCGGCGACATGGAACGACATTCCCAAACTCATCCTGTGGTTTTGTTGGTAACTGATAACTTCCTCGTTCGTCTAAGACAAGTAGCATGTTCGGACACGTACAGTGTACATGTTATCGATAGCCAAATAGCTGCATCATTGTTCAAGATTCACCACAGTGTACATTCCGTGCCCCAAACAACAGGTGTGAATAAATACCTCAAGTAAATAAAATTATTTGTCCTTCAAATCTGTTTATTTGTTGTTTGTTGAACTGAATACTTCTCAGAAAAGTATGCACTGTGTTCGTAATCAGAGCACGTAGTTGATTTGACATCTTGTACTTGTGTTGTATGAAACAGTTATCTCATGGCTCTTTGTTCGACGACTACTTGTTAACCAGTATATTCACAGCGCCGTATCTTAACAAGACCTGATAGGGGTTCCTTTTATTCTGAGGGGGTCGAGGTGCAGCTGAAACAGGGAACGTTATAATGCATTATATGTGTGCGAGGAAGGACTCTTCATTTAGAAATATCTGTTTAGATCAAATCCAAATCATGCTTGAAATGTAGGTGGAACATGTTACTTAAAACACCTGAAAGTCATAGGGAACGGTATGGTTCTGTGATACACGTACAGTTGAGACGCACGAACATTACCTTTCATCTGTAAGCATGTGCACAAGTAAACTGATTGTTGGTCTTAGCGACTGGCTGATAATTTTGGGGTATGGTGAGAAAATCAAGAGACGGTAACGTAATGAACATGACAGCTTCGGATGATGGATAATTAAAATATACACCTGTTATCTCTACGACATTCACATTTGTATATAAAATATAAGATGTCGGTCGGAAAGTAGAAATTATGTCCAACACTTTTCTTTATTGAATACTCCGCACATCACATTGTTTCCTTGGCCTCTCAGACTGGCAAGTTACGACATTCGACTTAATTTGGTCTATTCATTTGCGAGCTGTGTATGTTCATGAAAATATCCACATGTGATACATCCATCATACTTACGTGCACACCATGTTGCATTGTAGGCAGGAACAAATGGAGGGGTGCACTCACACATGAAGAGCCCTGGTGTGTTCACACACCTTCCCGGACCACAGATTGTCCCAAAACCTAGACTGCATTCATCCCTATCTGTGTAAAACATGGATACTATTCATTTACAAAAACAATCCCAATATAAAGTCAATAACATTCCAGTACGCATTCCTAACGACAAATACATTTTTCTTTAATGTGATAAAATTCCTATCCCACAAAAACGTCAGAGAGATATGATTTCATTCAGCCTCTGTACCAAGCTGAACGTGATCCGGGATGATTTCAGTTTTACGATCATAAATTTCCCCTTCATGTCGAGCTTATATCATCAGCTCCAGCTGATGGCGTCCACGTTTCTCAGTTTCTTAACTGCTCTAGAACATGCATGTTTTATTCACATGTCAGGAAAAGACACCATCTCCTTACGACTAAGTTTTCATTCGTCTTTCGTTCAAGGTTTTACCATCAAAGCCCTGTTCAGGTCATTCTAAAAATTCAGAGGAAAGTACTCAATATGGCCCGTCGCTTTCCACCATGATCTGCTATTCATTTCTATCAACCTTATATGGAGCTTACACCCCTAACTAACTAGCACTTACATGGAACTTACACCCCATACTATCAACCTTACATGGAGCTTACACCCCTTACTCACTGACACTTACATGGAGCTTACACCCCTTACTCACTGGCACTTATATGAAGCTTACACTCCTTAATCACTGGCACTTACATGGAGCTTACACCCCTTACTCACTGGCACTTATATGAAGCTTACACTCCTTACTCACTGGCACTTATATGAAGCTTACACTCCTTAATCACTGGCACTTACATGGAGCTTACACCCCTTACTCACTGGCATTTATATGAAGCTTACACTCCTTAATCACTGGCACTTACATGGAGCTTACACTCCTTAATCACTGGCACGTACATGGAGCTTACACTCCTTAATCACTGGCACGTACATGGAGCTTACATCCCTTACTCACTGGCACTTACATGGAGCTTACATCCCTTACTAAATAGCACTTACATTGAGCTTACTCCCCTTACTCACTGGCACGTACATGGAGCTTACACTCTTTAATCACTGACACTTACATGGAGCTTACACCCCTTACTCACTGGCACGTACATGGAGCTTACACCCCTTACTCACTGGCACTTACATGGAGCTTACACCCCTTACTCACTGGCACGTACATGGAGCTTACACTCCTTACTCACTGGCACGTACATGGAGCTTACACCCCTTACACACTGGCACGTACATGGAGCTTACACTCCTTACTCACTGGCGCGTACATGGTGCCTACACCCCTTACACACTGGCACTTACATGGATCTTACACCCCTTACTCACTGGCACATACATGGATCATACACCCCTTCCTCACTGGCACTTATATGAAGCTTACACTCCTTAATCACTGGCACTAACATGGAGCTTACACTCCTTACTGACACTTACATGGATCTTTCACCCCTTACTCACTGGCACATACATGGATCTTACACCCCTTACTCACTGGCATGTACATGGATCTTACACCCCTTACTCACTGGCACTTATATGAAGCTTACACTTCTTAATCACTGGCACTTACATAGATCTTACACCCCTTACTCACTGGCACATTCATGGAGCTCACACCCCTTACTAACTGGCACTTACATGGAGCTTACACCCCTTACTCACTGGCAATTACATGGAGCTTACACCCCTTACTAACTGGCGCGTACATAGATCTTACACCCCTTACTCACTGGCACTTACATTGAGCTTACTCCCCTTACTTACTAGCACGTACATGGAGCTTACACCCCTTACTCACTGGCAATTACATGGAGCTTACACCCCTTACTCACTGGCACGTACATGGAGCTTACACCCCTTACTCACTGGCACTTACATGGAGCTTACACCCCTTACTCACTGGCACGTACATGGAGCTTACACCCCTTACTAACTGGCGCGTACATGGAGCTTACACCCCTTACTCACTGGCACGTACATGGAGCTTACACCCCTTACTCACTGGCACTGACATTGAGCTTACTCCCCTTACTTACTAGCACGTACATGGAGCTTACACCCCTTACTAACTGGCGCGTACATGGAGCTTACACCCCTTACTCACTGGCACGTACATGGAGCTTACACCCTTTACTCACTGGCACTTCCATTGAGCTCCAGCTGATGGCGTCCTTACTTACTAGCACGTACATGGAGCTTACACTCTTTACTCACTGGCACTTACATGGATCTTACTCCCCTTACTCACTGGCACGTACATGGAGCTTACACCCCTTACTCACTGACACTTACATGGAGCTTACATCCCTAAATAACTGGCACTAACATTGAGCCTACACCCCTTACTCACTGGCGCGTACATGGAGCTTACACCCCTTACTCACTGGCACTTACATGGAGCTTACTCCCCTTACTCACTGGCACTTATATGAAGCTTACACCCCTTACTCACTGGCAATTACATGGAGCTTACACCCCTTACTCACTGGCACTTACATGGAGCTTACACCCCTTACTCACTGGCACTTATATGGAGCTTACACTCCTTACTAACTGGCGCGTAAATGGAGCTTACACCCCTTACTAACTGGCACGCACATGGAGCTTACACCCGTTACTCACTGGCAATTACATGGAGCTAACACCCCTTAGTCACTGGCACGTACATTGAGCTTACACTCCTTACTCACTGGCACTTACATGGAGCTTACACCCCTTACTCACTGGCACTTATATGAAGCTTACACTCCTTAATCACTGGCACTTACATGGAGCTTACACCCCTTACTCACTGGCACTTATATGAAGCTTACACTCCTTAATCACTGGCACTTACATGGAGCTTACACTCCTTAATCACTGGCACTTACATGTAGTTTTCACTCCGTACTCACTGACATATACATGGATCTTACACCCCTCACTCACTGGCACTTACATGGAGCTTACAGCCCTTATTCACTGGCACTTACATGGAGCTTACACTACTTACTCACTGGGACTTATATGAAGCTTACACTCCTTAATCACTGGCACTTACATGGAGCTGACACCCCTTACTCACTGGCACGTACATGGATCTTACACCCCTCACTCACTGGCACTTACATGGAGCTTACAGCCCTTATTCACTGGCACTTACATGGAGCTTACACTACTTACTCACTGGGACTTATATGAAGCTTACACTCCTTAATCACTGGCACTTACATGGAGCTTACACCCCTTACTCACTGGCACGTACATGGATCTTACACCCCTCACTCACTGGCACTTACATGGAGCTTACAGCCCTTATTCACTGGCACTTATATGAAGCTTACACTCCTTAATCACTGGCACTTACATGGAGCTTACACCCCTTACTTACTGGCACATACATGGGTTTTATACGCCTAACTGACCCTTACCCTTTGAATGAAAATTGCATGAGTGGCGGATGTTACCGGTACAACGCAATTGTAACACAACAATCGAAACGGGATAATTTATACTTTTATACAGTTACTTTTGTCCTTGTTGATATTTGACAATATTCATGTGGAGAATTCGTACGTGCGTGTGGAAAAAAAATGTTCCAGTCAGAGCGTCATGAAGCTATTAATATTTCCTACTTTCGTATGCGATAAATATGTGTAAGTGTTCTTACCGACACACACGTTGAGATCTTGGTAGGTCTTTTCAAATCCTTCATCACACTGACATGTTGGGACTGGGACAGTGGGTGGCTCAAGACACACCCCGTTCAGACACCCACTGACAGTGCAGAGGACCGCTGAAACACCATTGGACTTAAACAGTATAACGCGTGTATGTGAACAAATTTGCATAAGTTAGTACACTGTTACAACATGTAAATATACACTTGAAGAAGATTAAGTGTATATATAAATGTATTAATATTCAAATGAGTGTCTTGGTGCAATGACATACTAAATAACACAGGACAAATTGAAGACGTGAAATTGTTGGTCATCCTTGCAAGTATAACCCCCACACATGTAGCTGCCAGGATCCGATACTCTTGGTTTGAATCCCATTTGCGCCCTGACGATGATGGTTCTTGGTCTGTCAACGACAAACCCGTGCAGGCTGGTTTCTCACACCACAATATAACTGCTGTACTGTTCACAGTGGTGTTCTTCCCAACTCGCTCACTACCTGTAAGACTCAAAAGCCGTTTACTACTACTATGTACATTCATTCTGCATTCAATGTGTGCTGAAAGATACAATATAATACGTCACCATACCTTGAGCATCGATGTAGTGAACGCTGACACTGACGATAACCACGGTGAGAATGACGCGAGTGACAGAAGTCATGATGGTTGTGCAAGTGCTGTGTACCTGTTGTGCAGGCCAGCACGGCGTATTTATACTCAGACTATCGCTGCTTTTTATAATACACTGTAGTTTAGTCATCATTTATTAATACACAATTGAAAGATACTTTACCTTGAAAGGTCAAACGTACATTGACTGACCGAACGGGCCAAAACTGGCCTGTCAATCAAATACCATGCAGCCAGCAATTCCTTTGTATACTTCGGGGAGACGGTCATGTTGTCAATCACAACAGATACCATGTTCTTTTAGTGTTTGTTTTTCAATCGTTGCAATTTCACAGAGGGTAATAGCTGTCCATCCCAAAGTGGACGTGTCGAAAAATAGGTGCTTTTCATAGATGAAAACGACCTTATTACTGCTTAGTAGCGTACTTTTGTGTCAAGTTTAGCTTTATTAGGCTGCTGTAGGATTTTTATTAATGTTTAAACTTTGTGCGATGAATATATTCTGAGATGTGTAACAAAACAAAAACTGTAAAAGTTTATGGCAGTCTGTTTAACACTGTCCAGGTTGTTGATTTTCCTTATAAGCTGATTGCCGTGGTAGTTGTAGTTTGACAAGATCTCATTTATGACATGTTCCTGCCTTTCAAATTCCCGATGAGCCAACAAGGAAGCCATGTCGAGGATATTTATCCCTCTTGGAATGATGGAAGCCATTCTTCATTGCGTTTACAGATTACAGTGAATTCTTTTCGCATGCAGTAAAAGGCCATATTCAGACATGATTCACACATTAAATCATGTTTCCTTTTGTCGCGGTTGCTTGGCGCTAAGGGACTGTAATTTAAAACTATCAACGGATAGCGTATTAATGATTCAATTTAAGAATCGTACTGAACATATATTCTAGAATAAATGTATTATGCCCAAAGTGTGAATTTTAACATTGGACGATAAGTATTCATGAGAACTGTTATAACTATTTAGTTCACATATGCATATATATGGCTATATGTCAGGTGTTTGTGTATTGAAATCTTTTAATTTACATGTGCATGTATATGACTATATGTCAGGTCTTTGTGTATTTAAACCGTTTAGTTCACATGGGAATGTATTTGAAGTTTCAAGCATCGTTTCTGGTATGTTTCTGGTATGTATCTGGTTATATCTGGTATGTTTCTGGTATTTTTCTGGAATGTTCCTAGTATGTTTCTAGTATGTTTCTGGTATGTTTCTAGTATGTTTCTAGTATTTTCTGGTATGTTTCTGGAATGTTCCTAGTATGTTTTTAGTGTGTTTCTGGTATGTTTCTAGTATGTTTCTGGTATGTTTCTGGTATGTTTCTGGTATGTTTCTAGTATGTTTCTGGTATGTTTCTGGTATGTTTATTGTATGTTTCTGGTATGTTTCTGGTATGTTTCTGGTATGTTTCTGGTATGTTTCTAGTATGTTTCTGGTATGTTTCTAGTATGTTTCTAGTATGTTTCTCGAATGTTCCTAATATGTTTCTAGTATGTTTGTGGTATGTTTCTAGTATGTTTCTGGTATGTTTCTAGTATGTTTCTTGGATGTTTCTAGTATGTTTCTGGTATGTTTATTGCATGTTTCTAGTATGTTTCTGGTATGTTTCTATTATGTTTCTGATATGTTTCTAGTATGTTTCTGGTATGTTTCTGGTATGTTTCTAGTGTGTTTCTGGTATGTTTATTGTATGTTTCTGGTATGTTTCTGGTATGTTTCTAGTATGTTTCTGGTATGTTTCTGGGGCGGTCGGGTAGCCTAGTGGTTAAAGCGTTCGCTCGTCACGCCGAAGACCCGGGTTCGATTCCCGACATGGGTACAATGTGTGAAGCCCATTTCTGGTGTCTCCGGCCGTGATATTGCTGGAATATTGCTAAAAGCGGCGTAAAGCCATACTCACTCACTCACTCTGGTATGTTTCTGGTATGTTTCTGGTATGTTTCTAGTATGTTTCTAGTATGTTTCTGGTATGTTTTTGGTATGTTTCTGGTATGTTTATTGTATGTTTCTAGTATGTTTCTGGTATGTTTCTGGTATGTTTCTGGGGCGGTCGGGTAGCCTAGTGGTTAAAGCGTTTGCTCGTCACGCCGAAGACCCGGGTTCGATTCCCGACATGGGTACAATGTGTGAAGCCCATTTCTGGTGTCTCCCGCCGTGATATTGCTGGAATATTGCTAAAAGCGGCGTAAAGCCATACTCACTCACTCACTCTGGTATGTTTCTAGTATGTTTCTAGTATGTTTCTGGTATGTTTCTAGTATGTTTCTAGTATGTTTCTAGTATGTTTCTGGTATGTTTCTAGTATGTTTCTGGTATGTTTCTAGTATGTTTCTGGTATGTTTCTAGTATGTTTCTTGTATTTTTTTTGTATGTTTCTGTTATGTTTCTAGTATGTTTCTGGTATGTTTCTAGTATGTTTCTGGTATGTTTCTAGTATGTTTCTGGTATGTTTCTAGCATGTTTCTGGTATGTTTCTAGTATGTTTCTGGTATGTTTCTAGTATGTTTCTGGTATGTTTCTAGTATGTTTCTTGTATTTTTTTTGTATGTTTCTGTTATGTTTCTAGTATGTTTCTAGTATGTTTCTAGTATGTTTCTGGTATGTTTCTAGTATGTTTCTGGTATGTTTCTAGTATGTTTCTGGTATGTTTCTAGTATGTTTCTTGTATTTTTTTTGTATGTTTCTGTTATGTTTCTAGTATGTTTCTGGTATGTTTCTTGTATGTTTCTGGTATGTTTCTAGTATGTTTCTAGTATGTTTCTGGTATGTTTCTGCTATGTTTCTAGTATGTTTCTGGTCTGCTTCTGAACATGTGATCCATCCTTGTTCTCATCTGAGTTTCTGGGGACATGAATATTGACCGGTCACGTACACGGGTGCCCTCATCATCATATATGTGTGTATATATTATATTGTAATAACGAATACACGTAGACGTTGTATTGTAAGCAGAAAGTGTATAAAAACAAGCACAAAAAATAGGATGGTATCCACGTATGTCTATGAAAGGTCATGTACGGTCACAGATCGGTCATTCCATCGCTTTCAGCAATGGCAATAAGAAATAACACGTCAGGTATATAAGAGGCCTAGTTTTCCATCAGAAGCATACGAAACATTTCTTGCTAAAAAGCGAATCGTTAGTTCTGTGGAAACAGCTATGAAATCTCTTGTAGCTTTTCTATTCGCTACGTTTGTTTTCATTGGAGTTGTTCAGTATATCGAAGCTCAAGGTGCGTACAATGTATATTACTGTTTGAGCTATGGTATTCAGTGAATCGAAGCTCAAGATAAGTACATACACATTAACGTTTTAGCTGTGGTGTTCAGAGTATTGAAGCTCAAGGTATATACATATATATTAACCTTCTAGCTGTGGTGTCCAGAGAATCGATGCTGAAGGTATGTGCATATATATTAACGTCTTAGCTGTGGTGTCCAGAGAATCGAAGCCCAAGGTATGAACATATAATATATTAACATTCTAGCTATGGTGTTCAGTGTATTGAAGCTGAAGGTATGGACACATAAGTATATTAACGTTCTAGCTGTGATGTTCAGTGAATCGAAGCTCAAGAAATGTACATATACAATAACGTCTTAGCTGTGGTGTTCAATGAATCGAAGCTCAAGGTATATTCATATAATTCTATTAACGTTCTAGCTGTGGTGTTCAATGTATTGAAACTCAAGGTATGTACATATATATATTAACGTTCCAGCTGAGGTGTTCAGTGTATTGAAGCTGAAGGTATGTACATATATATTAACGTTCTAGCTGTGGTGTTCAATGAATCGAAGCTCAAGGTATATTCATATAATTCTATTAACGTTCTACCTGCCGTGTTCAGTGTATTGAAACTCAAGGTATGTACATATATATATTAACGTTCCCGCTGAGGTGTTCAGTGTATTGAAGCTCAAGGTATGTACATATATATTAACGTTCTAGCTGCGGTGTTCAGTGTATTGAAGCTGAAAGTATGTACATATATATTAACGTCCTAGCTGCCGTGTTCAGTGTATTGAAACTCAAGGTATGTACATATATATATTAACGTTCCAGCTGAGGTGTTCAGTGTATTGAAGCTGAAGGTATGTACATATATATTAACGTTCTAGCTGCGGTGTTCAGTGTATTGAAGCTGAAAGTATGTACATATATATTAACGTCCTAGCTGGGGTGTTCAGTGTGTTGAAGCTCAGGGTATGTACATATATATTAACGTTCTAGCTGCGGTGTTCAGTGTATTGAAGCTGAAGGTATGTACATATATATAAACGTTCTAGCTGCCGTGTTTAGTGTATTGAAACTCAAGGTATATACATATATATTAACGTTCTAGCTGCGGTGTTCAGTGTATTGAAGCTGAAAGTATGTACATATATATTAACGTTCTAGCTGCGGTGTTCAGTGTATTGAAACTCAAGGTATGTACATATATATTAACGTTCTAGCTGCGGTGTTCAGTGTATTGAAGCTGAAAGTATGTACATATATATTAACGTCCTAGCTGTGGTGTTCAGTGTATTGAAGCTCAGGGTATGTACATATATATTACCGTTCTAGCTGCGGTGTTCAGTGTATTGAAGCTGAAAGTATGTACATATATAATAACATTCCGGTTTTGATGTTCAGTGAATCTTGAATCAATCGAAAAGAATAAGAGAACATTTATAATACGAAGATACATGTATGATTTATGTCTCAGTTACATTTTCAATTCAACTAATCGGTATAAGTCATCGTCGTCTTCTGCCTGTTTGGTAGTTATTTGGGATTTCGCATTTTCAAGCAAACTATTCCTGTAGAATCTTTGCCGATATAAACTCCACTATAGCTGGCTCTAGTGATGTGTAACAGAGTATCTGCAAAACACTGAATCTGTAACTCCATCCTTTAACATTGCAAGCCTCCCTATATTTCAGCACTGTGTACAGTAGCGAGCTGCCAGAATGGCGTGTGTCTGGGACCACCCTTTGTCGCTACCCCTGTGTGTCTGTGTGACCCTGGATTCACGTACTCCATCCTGGATGTTAATATCTGTGAAGGTAAGATGCGTCATTCAGATGTTTAGGGACCGACAGTTAGAGTTTCCTGGGAGGAGGGGTGGGGAGGTGGGTTGCTTGGATTTTGTATCGAGATTAGAAATTTCATCAGGTTCAACTGCAAAAGCAGATGCTGTTTTTTGATATTTAAGACTTTGAACATGACTTTTAGGAAAAACTTCTTGCAACAATGCCATTTTTGTGGCAGACACTTTCTTGTTTTTTTCAGAGGCCGAAAGCATAGATAATTTTTCAAGAAGTTTCTGTGTCAATTTATAATACCAGCACCCCCCCCCCCCCCACCCCCCACCCCCCACCCCCACCCCCACCCCACCCCTAAACACACATACGCCTAACCCCCCTCACCCGGCCCCAACACCACCCCAACACCACCCACCTGAATATCAAATGGTAGGTCCCTTAATGCCTTGCTACTATCGATTGACGTTCGTTTGTTTGTATAGCGTTGTGCCCACTGCGCTGCTCCAGCTGTAATTTATACGTTTGACATATTCTAAGTCCGTCCATACCCATGAGGAAGAGGTGACGTAATTCCCATTGTACAACATCTCGCAGTTAGCTCCATGCATTCATCATAATCATAGTATTCAGGAAAGGCCCAAATGAACAAACAACAATTATAATGATACACGGTCTTCATAGATAAAACATTTTGAAATACTGACACTTTAATAACCCTTTACAGACTTTGACGAGTGCAAGATTGCCTACGGGACCATTTGTAACCAAGGGCGATGTGTCAATCAGCCAGGCAGCTACAGCTGTCAGTGTTATCCTGGATACGTTTCTCGTTTCAACAACACCGTTTGTGACTGTAAGTGCATTTTACATAAGTGTCATTATACTCTGGGTAGAAGTGAGCATTGCTCCTTCGAGAAGTCACGATTCCGAAGAAAGTAATTTTAAAAATACTTTAAGACGCTGTCCGTTCAAACTGATACTTGTGTACCTGGCCCCACCTGAGACTGAAAGTGCAATTAATTTCGTATATAAGGAAGTCGATGATAACGACCACATATAATGAGTGAGTGAGTGAGTATGGTTTTATGCCGCTTTTAGCAATATTCCAGCAATATCACGGCGGGGTACACCGGAAATTGGCTTCACACATTGTGGCCATGTCAGGAATCGAATCCGGGTCTTCAGCGTGACGAGCGAACGCTTTAACCACTAGGCTACCCGATCGCCCCCCATATATAATGAACATCTTCTGGTGGTGGTAACAGTTGTTATTTCGTGAATGAATGTGAAGAGCGCATTTTGATGGTTCCATTGAGTTCGAATTCGTTTACATAAAGAAATGACTTGAGTTAATCAAACACAGATGTCCTAACATATGACAATGTAGTTGTAGATGGCATCTGACACATTAACATTGTCGGAATTTATCAAAGCACCATCTGGAAGAAATCTTTCTGTGCGTCATCTAGGTCAAGTAAATGACCCCGTGACGAGGTCCTATTGTTGTGTAGAGAGATCCACTTATAGTACGTTGAGGGGAATGTCATGTTAAACTCTCTACCCACAACCATCCCCCATCCCAATCCCTACCCCCATCACCCAGATATTCACCTTCTTACAACCTATCCCTTTTTCATAATTGGACAAATATATTCTCATATACATAGTTAATTTCACACCGTTCCTTCCTGTGTCGCGGTAGCTCAGGTCGACTATTAGACGTCCTTAAATCAAACGCTGGGGACACGTCTTCAAACAAAATTTGAAATAATTCACTTGTCAAAAATTTGTTTCGTCTATTCCAAGTGTAAATTAATTCAAATGTTGGTTCAAGACATTGCGTAAGTTGCGACTAACGGGATCGGGTGGTCAGGCTTGCTGACTTGGCTGATGAATGTCATCGTATCCCAATTGCGTGAATCGATGCTTATGACGTCAATCACTGGATTGTCTGATCCAAACTCGATTATTTACAGACCGCCGTAATAGAGCTGGAATATTGCTGAATGCGGCGTTAAACAACAAAGAAACACAAAATCAAGATATTGTATAACTGACAAACAACTCCATTCCTGAACAAATTAATGGAGCTTTGAATCAATAGAATGAAGTCACAGGTGTGTTTTACTCATGTTAAACCCTATTTCCCCTCACCTCACCACACCTCACCTAACCTCACCCCACCTTACCTCACCTCATGTTATCACTCCTTCTTACTGATGGATCAGGTGATCTTGCTGGATGACTCGGTTGACCGAGTGGTGTCATTGCGCACGCTTCTGATCACTGGATTGCCTCTGTTGTTTACATGAAGCTGGGTGCGGCGTTAGGCAACAAACACTTACTTTTTTTAAAAATTACACCTTTAGCGAACAGCTGGTCATCACTTATTTTCAGTGATTAATATAGTTTATACCACTATTTTATCTCCCTTTTACGCCCAGTGGAATTTTTTTTCGACAGATATTCGAGACTGATTATTCTCAGGCGTTGACGTTTAGAATCTGATCGTTAATGGCTTGACATGACGTTTGTGATGCGTCTTTTGAGCACAGCTAATTGCCTGAGCAATGGATGTTTGTCATTTAAGTCACGTTTAGCACAATTATATTCTGATAATGTACCCCTGTACCTATTATGCGTAATGTTGTGCCTGGGCCTAGCGGGAAGTGTAATGTACCGTTAGTGGGAACTGTTCACTTTGTGACGTATTTCACATGACTTCACTGTGCTCTGAGACAGGATGAACACTTTTTCAGGATAAAGAGGATCAGTTGCGATAACAGTAGGGTTCTGCTGCATATTCCGATACATTACTGTCACTTGCACTTTATCGATGACATGGTGAATAGTACTATATGAGCCAGCGCTCCTTATTATAGATGTAAAGTTTATACAGTTTGTTTTACATTATGTTTCAGATCCACCAAAGCGACAACAACAACAACAACAACAACAACCAAACTCTCTACCGAGCCTGCAATTTCTCTCTTTTAATGAATTGGTAAACTGATGCCGACAATATGCACTGTACAACCTGTGATGTGTGAATATGTCATACATCTGAAAGTTCCAAATGTTTTATTGATCATTTGCACAATTATATCAAAATAAAAACACAGCAGACAAGGCGTTTTAGTTGTTTTTCCACAGGTCCATGGGATAATTCATTATGTATTTAAACAGTTGTTCCAATTAGATACAAATAAAACTTTTCAGGAAAAATCTTCTACACAATGGGGGTCGTCACGTGTTATAAGTTGCCTTTGAACGAACGATGTGTATATGTATAAGCAATATTTCAATTGCTTTCTAAACTTCAACTGTATCATTCGACACAAACAAGTTACTGCCGGTTGCATTAATTAAACCTGTGACAAAGTATTATTATAGTTTTAGCAAGCACTCCAGGGCAATGTCGTGATTAGCCACAGGCAGAGAAAGCGCGAAACTTTCTTAACATACTTTATCCCACTTTCGTTCTCTCGCCGTACACAAGTACGTGTCCTCCTGGTCTACAGGAAAGTGTTCAGCGTGATGGATCTACTCTCTGATATCAGTGAATGTCCTACCTACTCTACTTTAGAACATCAATCAAGACCTATCTCTTCCGCCAAGCGTCCTATTGAACTGTGTTGCCTGCACCTTGAGCATAATATTTGAGTATGGAAACGTATTGGGATATATCTGACGGAAACAACAAAGATTAAAAAGGAAATTATCATGAATACTTGACTTCAATATTCGGGCTTCTGAAAAACATAGCATATAAAGGATGCAGCTGAAATAGTACTAACGTGGGGCTGGGATGTTGGGCCAGAATATGTCGATAACGTAGCAAGTCAGACGCCATGTAAATACTTCGTCCTTAGATTCGGATGTTGTTGTGAGGTAGGTATACGTAGGCATACGCACTTGTAGATGAGGACAGAATCAGTTTGGACAATTAAATGGCTGTGGGCGGTGTCAGGTGACGTGTCACAATATGCTGGGGTCAGCACTTTTGATACAAAGCTCGACCAGATCAACTTGTGATTCTATTATATGAGTTGCCTTCTGTGCAACTTGATATCGTTTCCACTTTCTTTACTACATGGAACTAAGTCTTCTCTCGATGTGTAAAGTAATGTAAAAAGTAATCATATGACTTCATTATTGTAGCAGAAGAACGACGGGAGTCATTGTTTAAACGACGAAACCGCCTGGTGGACATCGAATTCTTGATCTGGGAACACCTGTTGTCATCACTGGAATCTGTACTGTTACCCTGGAGCGTTGTGTTTAGATTTATCCTTTCCATTTGTTTGAAATCTGACCCTGTCCACGTGACTTCTAAACAAGTATGAATATTCCATAGGCACCAGTGTAACAGCAGCCGTAGATGTACATGCAGGTTAAGGGATTATATATTAGAGCCAATGATAACCGGTTTCTTATTACGATTTTGACACGTCTGTTTAATTCCTGGCATTTGTTAAAAGACTGTCCCTGAAACAGTCTTGTAAAGTGTCATTCTGTCCTAAGTGCTTCTTCATAAAACAATTCCTTTGTTACCGTACTGTACGTGGGGTTTAAAGATTACCTGGGTCCCTAAGTAATGGAGAACACATGCGAATATACTCGTTCGACTCCAGGAAATTAGAAAATTAGAGTGACATCTCCGACGTAAACCAGTTATTTGACCTATAGTTGCGTCAGTTGTACTTGTTACACAGTCATTCTCAGTTAAATGAAACAATTAGCTGAGCAAAGCATAGAAATAATAAGTTGTGATTTTTCATGAAAACATTTTATTTACTTTTTATTTGTAGAAACTTCAACAATACTATAACTAAACATTCAGCACTGAGGGACAAATAGTGTCGTGACACAAGTAATACAAAGTGACCTACCCTGATATTACAGTGTAATTTACATAACAACACCTGATTAAACATTACAGAATCTACCGCAATTTCTAAAGATCATTTGATGGACAATGCAGCATATTCTAAATACTAAAAGGAAACTAAATATTTCACGCACAATAACTTTTAAAGATGTCTACTTTATACTTATAGTTTTTCTCCTTTATTTGCATATGCAAGAAATTAAACCTGAAGACATTATATAAGCCTCATTACGGATCCCGTGAAGGCAAGTCTTCGCACATCAAAATATTTCGATAAATGTCACTGTGAAGTCATATAACGTAGCAATATGAAAATATACTTGGTTCTCACATTTAGACAGTCGTTAAAACAATAGCACAGGACATATGACCGTGACGTAAATTTCAAATCTAACCAATTTGGTTAACCAAAGTGGCAGCATATATAAAAAACCTTCAAACGATTACTGTTGCATTGGTTCAGTTTACCTTAACTTATTGACACTAATCTATTCCATACTGAATGTGTTAATTTACGTTGTAATTTACGTCACTCTGAAAACTGTTGGTTTGCATTTGAACTTGCTTCCTGAAACAATTGTATTTGAGTGTAATCTGACCCAGTGATTAATTTTACAAATACAATTCACAATTAACCTCGATTAATTGTATTTAAAAATACGGCTCCAGGTGGTGGGTTGTTTGAAGAATTTCCAACAATAAATGATCTGTCATTGAATTTGACCAAAAATGATAATAACTCGATATTTTGATTTAACCTGGCGGGTTATTTGAATTGATGACACCTCTGAGCACAAAATAAAAGAAAGATTTGTCAGATTTCATAAAGTTAAACAGCAGTAAATGAAGATCCGATCACGAGAAATTTACGTCACAGAGTTCGTAATTTACCTTGTACTGAACAACATGGACAAGCCAAACCTCTAGATGTTTCTGGGGACATCAGAAGGCGTGATGCAAATGGCCAGTGGTACAAACACGTGTGTTTAAATAGTCTTTGGGCTTTCCATTTACTACTAAACGTTTTTTCAAATACCTATCAAATGTATATTACTGAACATAAATTACATCTGAACGTCAATAGTTCAATATCCAGATATAAAAGGTGCGTTTTGGCGCTGTTCTGTTACGAAACACTTGTGGATATAGAAGCCCTGTTCGTGACCATAGGCTGAAACTAATTCAAATTCACATTACCTTATACTAGCTCTTACGTGTAATTACATCCTTAAAAATTGCTTTGAAAATTCCTCATTAACGAACAATTTCTTAGCTATAGCTTTTGTTGTATTTTACAAGATATGTGCTTTTTGTATGTTTCTTCCAGCTTTGAATAAACCTGTTTAGTTGCAAAATATGCAATGAACAATTGAGCTAAACATAATGAAAGTTAGCATAACGTAAATTTCACAACATCTGCCGGCAAATTTTTTAAGTATATCAGAATCAAGCGCCACCATAGCGTGACATCATACGTAGATTGGCGCCTCGAGCAGGAATATCAAAGTACTACAACAAAAACAATACATTAACTTCCAATACACGCTTACTTCTACACAATGGGACCCACTTCCAAAACCTAATTACGTGATACCTCTTTGTACATGTCATAAAATGCAGGAAACAATGGGATTGACAGGTCGAACTGTGACGTCAACCTGCAACGGTTTTCTCCGAAGCGATAAAGGCAGAGACAGGCGAGAACATTAGTTAGTTGTGGGACGTAGTGGTGAGGGGAACATCAATATCAAAGAGGGGTAAGAATGATTGGTCTTTGTTTCATTATCTCAATGCATTTATATATATGAACCCCTGATGATCAGGTATCAAAGTTAACACAAACAACATCCAAATGCTCTATTATATTACCTGTAAGTTAACATATTCCTGTGAGGTCATTCTATTGTTCGGACGTCTACGACAGTTGGCTGTCAATTATTTATGATTACTTTATCTACACCCAAATGTCCCCGATGTTCAGGTTAAAGTAATTATATATAGGAAACAGGAGTAACATATATCCTTGTTCAGGGTTCAACGATAAATACATATTCCGATCATCATCTCCAAATGTGCAAGCAGTTGTCAAAATACTCGTTTTGGATCCCTAAAAGCGTGAACAACCAGTACCATACATTGTAAAGATCAACTTGCTAGAGAGCGTGGCACACGTGCATCTGCAGCAGGAAACATATTTCACGTGAACCCCCCTGGGTGTCTCTCACAGTATGAAGACATATTTACAAGGCGTTCTGGATTATGTGTAAAATCATTTCTAAAATCTTCTTAATATTTTGTCAAAGTCTAAAAGTAGGGATGTGTTTTTCGTATGGGACTCGTACCTTGTCTTTAATATTAATGCGATTTGTGGTACATTAATAAACTGTCTGGGAACACTTTCGACATTGTGTTCACTGAATATATTTATTTGCGTGAGTTCAGATAACTTTATTTGTTGCTTACGATGTATTTGGATTTCCAAAGTATAACTGAGTCCCGTGAAAAGGGTTATAACCGGCACAATTTACTTAACTTTGTTATTTTTCTGAACAAATAGTATAACATGTATATTGGAAACATCCTTGCAGGGGATGTCATTAATACTTTGTACATGTCTGTGTTTCACGATAAAGAGAATCTGGTAACTGGCATTACAATACGTTGCTCTGTATGAAATGAAATGCGCGAAGAAGTTTAGAAATGTAACAAGGGGATATGTCTACAACTATTTCTCCCGTTGACTGTGGCATTTGAAACCAGACTGTAACTTGCGGCACTATCAGGAGCCAACATACCAAGTTGTAGGTCGGAGAGATGCTTGTCAATGTAAATGCATCTCTATTTGAATCAACTGTTACTTATCAGTATGCATTACACAAATACAAAAGAATGGCTAGATGATCGCAGACAATAAAATCAAATGCATTCGTAGATGTGTAGCGTACCAGCATCTATGTAACATAAGAGAGTCATAGTAAAATCGAATTAAGATCACATGTTTGGAATCATCGCTGGTGTTGACATTTTAACGATCTCGTCCTCACCAGAACATTAACTTTGTGCTTGTTACACCGAGCCACCCCCACAATATACTCTACAGCGATGGAGTTCTACAGCGATGGAGTTCTACAGCGATGGGGTTCTACAGATGATGGGGTTCTGAATGGATAGAGGGGAAATTTCATAACTGTAATATGTCAACATGAAATATTTAAGCCCTCAAAATGAATATGTATTAATGGTAACCATGACAACTATTTTTCACATTTCGTACTTTTATTTCCTGACCATGTATGTGCTTTGTCGTTCATATCTGATGTATGTCACTTACAACTCATGAGTCCCTGAACCTGCTTAGAATGAAGTGGTCGTATACTTATTTATAGGACATTGTGACAGGACATATTAACACAAGGAGAAAACATTTCCTAGCTCACAGTTGGCACGACACGACACTTCCTTGAAGTTCTCAATTTATTTGCCTTGAGTGAGTTTCTTTGGGCATTTTGCAACGGGATATGTCGAGAACTGTGAGTGATGTTACATGTATGTTTTCTGACTTGCTGATGGGTCTGTGTTAATCATCATATTGGGCACCTGCCACCGACACAACTTTCTTTGTGTATGAGCTCAGCCAAACTATGTCCGTAGGCACAAATGACAAATTTGTGCATATACAAAAAGACAAAGATTAGTATAATCTTAAGTGAAAATTCCTTATGTTTAAGATTAAATACTAATTTGTCATGTACAATATTATAGTCATTAGCAATACCAACTTCTAGAATGCTTATCAAAGACAATCTTACATAGAAATGAACAAAGTCATTGACAATTCGTGACGTTTCAATTATATATTTGTTACAGATGATGTTACTAGGGAATACAATGGCATAATCACATAATGGATGTAGTATGCTACAACAACAACCACACCTAATGATCAGCAGAATATATAAATATCAACTAGAGATAAAAATGTCGGTCAAATATTAATTTAAATATATAGTGAACTTATGCATGTCAAAGTACGCCATCTTAAATAAATCTATGACGAAAGGTATCAAGCCATGAACAGTTGAGACGATTTCCCGTCTTCGCTTCAGATCAACATTTGTAGATTTACATTTACATTTACAACATTACACAGCGCTCGGGCCATGTATTAATGGAATAAATGGACACCCAGGTTAGAATAGGTTCCAATTTACTATGCTTGTCCTGAGAGGCGACTGGTTGGTATAGAGTGGTCTGGCTCGGCGAGTGCATGTCATCGTACCCTGACGGCGTTGCTCATGATATCAGCAACTTGTTTATCGGTCCCAGGCTCGATTTTTGACAGGCTGCAATGACATAGTTAGAGTATTACTGACAGTGACGCAGAACAACAAACAAGCAGTTCATTTTTGAAGAAGTACACACATACAAACAACAACACCATGGTGTTCCGAAACTTGTTGAGCATGTGCCGCTCTCTCGTTACACTGACAGATCACAGATACTCAACACATGTCGATGTAGAGAAAATGATAATGTTATTAATATTTGTAACAGGTGTGTGGAGCAATGGCACAACCAAGCCTTATGAGAACGTCTCTGTGGGTGTTACTGTTCACCGTCACTGCAGGTGAGTGCTGTTTGTTCCCTTGGCAACATAAACATTTAGCAATCACCCATACTGTCATATTGCTATAAACCTAGGTGTATTAATCGTGACAGCAATGTAAGTGAAGTTGTGAAAAGACACATGCCAAGATATGCTTGGCCTCATCAGTATAAACAGAAATATACATGGTCAACATCTATCACCCGTTGTTCTTTATATATTTAGATAGATTGTTTTAGAAATATCTAACGGTGTTATTAAGATGAAACAAAGAGGGATTCGTTTTGCATTCTATTCGTTGTGCACTTACGGCATCAACCAAAGAGCAAAACTATCCGTCCAGTGTTCTGTCGAGACATGCATGGGAATTCCTAAACATTTGAAATCATTAAAAATATTAAGGTATTCGGCGTCACGTCAGTCATCACGTGTTTAAAAAACATAACGGTCAGTCGGTTGTGAGTTCAACTCCAAGCATGGTTGTAGTCACCTATAACAATGGGGAGCTATAGTATGGGGAGCTTGTGGTCGGGCTATTGCTGTTAGGAGCTTCGCTCAGAAGGTAACAGCGATACAATTTTTCTCTAGCATTGAGGTTATTAATAATGAAAGTGTCCCGCAATGGAATTCGAGCCAATGGCCTTCTGATCAGAGGTCGGAAGCTTTGTCAACACGACCAAGCTGACAAGGTAAGGATGTCATCTCTGGGATGACGCCACGTCCTGCTACATAAACGTTTTGGTGTCAGTCAACATTTAAATTATGTGCTTAGCTGTTTGATCACTGTTTATGTTTAGGTTTCATCAAATACAACACAGTCATACAACCTCAACATTAAAACACCAAATCATCTTTAAAAACAGAAAGGACAACGAAATAATAAGAATAGCCCGTGTTATTTATTTTGGTTAATGATCATGAAATAACCAAATGATGATCAATGGATGTGTGAGACAATTGCTCTTAGGAGACTTTGCCAAGAGTAAGGACGATCGCTGGCAAATACTCAGATATCAATTTTCAAGATTCCTGTCGCGAAATAGCCTTCCGGATATATTTTCTCAGTTGGTATTCAATTTCCCGAGGAGAAAAAAACACAACCATCTTACATTGCGGAACATGCGCACAAAAAGTGCATTCTAGCCTGCGGATAATCCCGAGTGCACCAACCCCCCATTCCTAATTTCGTTTCGGAAAAGTGACTCGTCAAGCTATCACAAAGAGGTGAGGTGACAAAAAACAAGTAATGAGTTTTGAGAATGAGAATTGAGTTTTGAGCAAAGAAGAAAGATTTTGCTGGTCCATTTGTTGAATTGCATGCCTCGATATTTGTCATACCTTAGTGTTTTGGCAAAACCAAAATAATCATTTTTTCTCTCGTCCTTCCTTAGTATGTACCAATGAAAACGGCATGTTACATTTTGTCCGAGATGTGGCACAATGCAGAACGTTCCTGGGCATATGGGTTTCCGGAATTAGAACGTATTTAACTGAGAATTGTTGCAACCTTTGAGGGAAGAGTTGGGCATAATGAACAAGCGAAGTTAACCAAGATTAAGCTGTAAAGTAGTTACATTCTCTGTGACGTGTCATGTTAAATGGGACGTCCTCAGCACATTGTATTTTGCTAGCTAACAACCCAATAACGTATTTTCCGAAAATAGTGGTTGGACTAACGACTGTTTCAGTACATCAAGCACGGCTTATCATTGTAAAACTATCAACTCAAAAAGAAAACTATGTGTCAGCGTATATAACTTTTAGAGCGTCCTTCAACAGTAATTCGTGCCAGGGATTATATGTCTAAAACGTTTCACCTCTCAGCTTATTATTTCATTGACATTAAAATACTTAACACAAATGACATAAATCAGGAAGTACTGCATCAATTCAAATAAAGATCAACATCCTACACTCTGATGTATATGCTTTGCAAAATCCATTCGTTTTTAATTAATCACTGTCTTCTGCTTATTGTTCTTACTGTCAAATGTAAGACGTGATAGCGATTAATTGCATCAAGTCGTATCTGACAAGAGGAAATTGTTACTTTGACATAAATTGAGTGGATAGAAGTCATTTCAGAAAAGAACTTTGGTCTTTGGTCTTAATGTAGACGGATGTACACGCATGTGTCACATAGAGAAACACATGTATATCCTCTTGTTTCGTGAACATGTTGGTTACAGGGCAACACAAACTAGACTGAGCGCAAAAGAAACGACACCCCAAGTAACATTGCATGAAAAGTTGTCATTTAAATATCTTGGTAATTTTTGTCAAAGTTTCTAAAAATTAACATTACCTTGTCCGGAAAAATGAAATTTGATGATAAAAAACAAAGCCAATAAAACCGATCGCCCAAAGGCATCACGGCAATGGCCATGGTAACCCGATGCACGTGAGTTCCATGCAAATTGAAATGCACATGCGTTCCCCCATTTCTAGCCCTATAAAAATCCACCCAGATCGGATAACTTTCATTCGTTATTGAATTGCTACAACATGCCAAGATTGACAAGATTTCTGCAACACCAAGCCCTTGGACGATTGCAAGCTGAACAAACCGCCCTGCAAGTAGCAAATGCATTTCAAGTCCACGTAAGGAACATAAACAGCCTCCAGCAACGGTACCAGATCACCAACACCACAGATGACCGACCACGTAGTGGAAGACCAAGGATCACCACCCGACGTCAGGATCGTCAGATTGTGCGACAGCATCTTCAAGATCGCTTTGTTTCATGTCAGCAGATGTCAGAGAGTCTGGCGACCCCGCGGGGAACGTTATTCGGATGCTTCTGTTGTGGAGAGAGACTCGTTGGGTGCTCCGAGCATCATTGTGTTAGGGTGGAATTGGTCTTGCACAGAGGGTCGGCCCTGTGGTCTTCCAGAACATCGGTCCAGGAAGAGGCAATGGTGTCACAGCAGTTGGGTACATTGATCAAGTCTTGAGACCACACGCCATACCCCATTTGGCACGTCGCCGCAACGACGAGTTTCAGCATGATAACGCCTGTTCCCACACTGCAAGGGCAACAAGAGACTTCCTCCAGCAGAATGGCACCAGAACAATGCAGTGGCCTACCCTCAGTCCCGATTTAAATCCCATTGAGCACCTGTGGGACGAGATTCAAAGACGGCTGAATGACGTCCGACCAAGGCCGACAACTGCGGCTGAACTGCGCCAGGCGTTCCTCAGAGTGTTGTCTCAAGTGCCCATGGCCTTAATCAACCGCCTCATCCATTCCATGTATCGACGTTGCACGGCAGTCCCCATTGCGCATGGCGGACACACGAGATACTGACTTGTGATGCAATTTTCCGAGACTCGTGTTGTGTTTCACTTTGAGAACATTTGACACCTTAATTTCAACATTAATGATCAGTTTTGCCAAGTTTCGTCTTTTTAATATGTCTCAAAGTATGTTTACAATATTTGGATAAGGTTTCTCATATATCTATCCATTGTGACGTTTCTTTTGTGGTTCAGTATAACATGTTAGTATGGGAATAGACATAACTGCATTAAGCTGATGCTCCTTTTGACAGGAAGCAGGCTGTTATCGTAGATAACACTACAGAGAGACTCGATCTGACCTGTGGTCTGCCACTAGGTTCAGTCCTTGGACTCAGCCTCTTTACGGATCATACACGGCGTCTCGGGAATATAGATCGTCATACATAGAGAATATTACTAGTATATGAGTGTTCATGTCATACAATGTTCACGACACGAGTACCTAAATACCGGTATTTTCCGAGGGAGAGCGAATTCTGGGATACTGGATTTTTGGCACGTGTGTCGTAAACATAGTATGACCTGAACACGAAAATGATGTTCTATTTATTACCGAAGGAGATGTCTACATACAGAGACAGATTTTAGTGTTTATCTAACAGCAAGTCGCAACAGCAGCGGAATCACAATTTGTTGAATGACGTCAACAATCTTTAGCTCTGATATCGTTTCTAGAGTGACGTCATTCCGACCTTATTTCACAATAAGATTCGAATGACGTCAACAATGCCATCCGGATAACGGCGACACAATACACTATTGTCTCCTGACGTGATATGACCCCAGGGCACGTACTATTTTTATGAACCCCTAAATGTTTGCCCTCGTAAGCAATAAAGTAAAACACTGTTATGCTAATGACTCCCCGTTGGCGCAATCATTCATTCCTGGCAAAAATAAAAAAGTGTTGGTGTTGATATGATAAAAAGATTAACTTTTTCTTCATTTTATTATGAATTATTTAACTTAGTAATTGAGAGTGAACATAGTCCAGGATCCTGGTTAGCAGGGATTATTAAACCGATATATACTGAACCAAATTAAAAACTTCACAATCCTAAAATTTTAACATTTTGACAAGTTATCATTGTGGGCCCTTATTGTGTATTTAAACAGTAATGGCCACGTATTGTCTTTAGATAACACCCGTTTTTGTGCAGGTGAATCGATCAAAATCATGTGCACAGCACTATAGTGGCAAAAGTGTTTTTTCACGTGCAACTGGTCACGTGGCCATAATACCGGACGTGATTTCAGCCATACGTGTTAGCAGTCATTAACAAAAAAAGAAAAACACAAGAAAACAAAAGTCTTTACGGCCATTTGTCATGCCACGCCTTTCAAATGTGCAACGTGAACGTGCCATCGGCATGTTGCAGACGGGAACGTCCGTAGCTGAAGTCGCAAGGACGATTGGTTGTAGTCGACGGACTGTTTATGATTTACAGACGTGTCTACAGCAAACGGGTACCACCGCTGATCGCCCTCGGCCAGGTCGACCACGTGTGACGTCACATGCAGAGGATCGTCAGATTGTCTTACGTCACCTCCGTAACCGATTTTTGACGGCTACATCAACCAGAAAGTAACTGTTTAGGGGTAGACTGAGTGCGCAAACTGTTCGAAACCGTCTGAGAACTGCTCACCTTCAAGCACGACGGCCATACTGCGGGCCGATTCTGACTCAATTTCACAGACGTCAACGTCAATTGTTGGCACAGCGACACTTACGATGGACTCAGAGGAATTGGAATCAAGTCGTCTTCAGTGATGAATCCCGATTTAATCTTCGATTTGCTGATGGTGGGGCGAGGGTGTGGAGGCGCCGTCATGAACGTTACGCTCAGTGTTGTCTACAGGAAGTTGACAGATTTCGAGGCGGAAGTGTCATGGTGTGGGGTGCTTTCTGTGGCAATGCACGTTCCAGGCTTCTTGTCATCCGTGGCAACCTCAACGCTGCTGCTTACCGCGACCAGGTACTGGCACCAGAACTTTTGCCTTTTATGGCAGCACATGGACCCGGTTTGATCTTCCAACACGACAATGCCAGACCCCTCACAGCAATTTTGACAAGGAATTTCCTTCAGAATGCGGGAGTCAACGTCATGGACTGGCCGTCAAGGTCTCCCGACCTCAAACCCATCGAACACGTCTGGGATGCACTTGGCAGAAGTCTGCGCACTCTCCAGAACCAACCACAGAATTTGCAAGATCTTGGCACCATTTTGCAGCAACAATGGCGTCGTCTTCCCAATCATGTGTTCACAAGCATCACAGGGTCCATGCGGAGGCGTTGTGTGGCAGTTGTCAACGTACATGGTGGCCATACACGCTACTGAACATGTGTGCCATCAGATTCTCGTGCTTGGGACTTATGATTTAAACTGTTAATGTTATTACCGAATACCGGTGCTTGGAACAAATTATGGTTACCATCGTTAATTAAAATCCTTCTTTAGACATTAATGATTAAAAATTACCTTCTCTGATACATTTGTCCGTTGTATATCATATATGGGATTACTTTTAAAAATGTGAAGTTTTTCATTTGAAATATAAAAAGATAATAAGAAAGGCGACGCTAATAGACCAGAAAACTATCGATCAATAGCTCTATTATCCTGTCTCGGAAAGTTATTCACCTCTGTGCTAAAAGCCAGACTGAACAAATATGTGGAAGAAAACAACCTTCTTTCAGAGATACAGGCGCGTTTCAAAAAAGGTGGACAGTGGACCACATATTTGTATTAAACAATCTTATATATATTTTAAGATTAGCAAAAAACAAAACTATTCTGTGTCTTCATAGATTTTCAAAATGTTTTTGACAGCATATGAAAGGTAGGGATTCGACAGAAACTGTTTTCGTATTGAATACGCTTAAGACTGTTTACGATTATGTTGAACAAATTCGATAATATTAAATCGTGTATAAAACATAATGGTGACATAAAAGGATATTTTCGCTGCGAAAGAGGAGTCCGTCAGGGCGAAAACCTATCGCCTCTTCTATTTTCACTCTTTCTAAATGACGTTGAAGCCCATTTGAATGTCTCTAAATGTGAGGGTGTCAAAACTGTTGGTTTTATAAAACTACTGAAGATCTACAGCATTGTATTAATACCTATTATGAGAATTGTGAGCAATGGAAGCTGATCATTTATCTCGCCCCCTCATCAAATTCCGTTCTAGTAATCACTACCCTCTACAATAATAGATTATGCAATTTATGTCATAAAGTAAAAGTCGGAGGTGAACTTCATTATCTCTTCGCATATCGATACTTGGTACTGGAAAGAGAATGTTATGTGCCACTTTTCTACCATGTGAAACCAAACTGTTATAAACTTGAATTACTACTGAGGCAACTATCAAACCGAGAAACTGTTCAAAAGTATACAAAGTATAATGTCTACCTTTTTAAATACAATCTGCCGTTACGTGGTCACTGATGGTTAATGATAATTCATAAATTACTCCATGTGTTGTGATTGTCAGGCAATTATGTATATATTGGTTTTCAGAGCTGTAGAATGTTGCTAATAACCCTAATGGTAATTAGCTGAGGACCTATAGATTGCTTAGGAAGGATCTAGCGCATGCGCCCTATGTCTTATCAAATTATATCCATAGAAACACCAGAAAATATTTGGCACTTATACGCAGTGGCAGCCTCCCCATTAACATTGAAAAAATGAGGTACAGTCGTTCCCCTGTCCTTCTCCAGGATAGAACTTGCCCTTTTTGTTTTAATTCAGTAGAGACTGAGGTCCACTTTTTAATTGACTCATGACATGTATGATGATTTACGTTATGATGTAATGCACGCTATGTGTGAATGTATGCCAGATTTCTGTGTGTGTGTGTGTGTGTGTGTGTGTGTGTGTGTGTGTGTGTGTGTGTGTGTGTGTGTGTTTGTGTGTGTTGGGTAGGGGGGTATAATGTACGTATGGTGTGTAGGTGTTCGTGTGGTGTGTGTGTATATGTGTATGTTTGGTGTGTGTGTATGAGTGTGTGTGTGTCTTCGTGTTTGTGTATGATTGTGTGCGTGACTGCTTTATAAGTAATTTGGCGTGTGTGTGCGTGTGCGTGCGTGCGTGGGTGTTCATAACCTCATCTTAACTTTACACATTGTGTTGTATATGTCTTAATTTACCTTATCCAGATCATGACCTTATACATATGCTTTTATGTCTAGTGTCTCGTAGGCCATACCTGGTCGGATGTTATAATTTATTGTTAGTGTACCTGTTTTAGTATGCAGTGAATATAACATCTGACACTATAATAAACATTATTCTCTCTCTCTCTCTTGATTGCCTTTATGATTTTACCATTTAAACCAGCTGAATACGAGCAATGACAAAACTTAGTGCGATTTACAGAGTCAAATGCATTTCTAAAATCAATGAAGGCAATATAAAGTGTTGTTTTCTTCTTGATAAACATTTCTGAATAATTGCGTACGAAGTAAGATGTATGATCGACTTTGGAATGTTTCTGTCTGAAACCATCTTCACTCTCTGATACTGTTGTATATTTTTCCAATTAAAGAACGCAGAGAATTATCTCCATAATTGATATGATTATTTAGCGATCCTTTCTATTGAATGGAACTATACAACCACAGTCATCATAAAGGTGTACCATATTAATACATGTTTAGTGATAAATAAAATAACGTACAACACTACGTACCGTTCATAACGTACCGAGTTAACATCTACATGATTAATATAAAAACATAACAATTGTCAGTACTATCAATCACGAGTATGACACGTTTCAGGTCAGATCTGTCCAAACCTGTCACCGAACTTGCAGAGGCCAGATATGTATTTTGAAAAAGTCCATGGAAAGTTGATGCCAAGGAAATGTGCTCCCGGAACAGTATATCATCAGTCGAAGTGTACCTGTGACCGTAAGTGTTTAATACCAACACCTATTACACACGTGGTACTTCCTGGACGTGCAGCATAACAAACTGTTATTAAACACATGTGTCACAACTCTTGCATGGGATTTGATTGGCTGATACGCAAACTGTGACTTTTCTGGAACTACTAGTTCTATATATATGTAAATACAATTTCAGCAAGAATCGCCCGTTGTCTGATTGACTGGTAAACAAATTGCCGAACAAAGAGAATCAATCAGGCCCCTGAGAATGCATGTATACACAATTAATAATATAGACGAATGCTGACCTACTATATCATGGATAAACTTCAGGCAAATGTGTTTTTTGACCTAACCAACGCAACATTTGAATCTCCCACACTTTCATATTGTTTGCATACGCTGCAAATTGTGTGCTTGTCAAACGTCGCCGCTGGCTGATATACAGTGATGAAATGCGTCATGTGATGCAGACTACAACCGGCGATAATAATCCAAGATCGTGACTTTGTGCCAGTTATTACTGACATTAAAGACAAGATATTTTATGGATGACAACTTCTTTATCATGTTATGATGCGACGTTTCGGTATATATCAGATTTAAGACGTGTGGATATAACAAAGCTTAATTGGTTTAAGGGCGAATTGGTTGTGACAACGAATTACCATTAGCTTGGACCTCCCCAAACAGTCAGCGGTATCCATATATTTTGCAGGGATGTACTGTGTAAAGGAATCTTAATAATTTCCTGTAAAGAACGTACCCCACAGGAGCACTGTTCGCTGCAATGGATGACAGGGAAAACACATTACTAGCTGCTCATATTGAAGCCTGTCCATATTGAACCTGATGAAGGAGTAGGCATATACTCCGAAACGTTGTGTTCCTCATTCACCTGATGAAGGAGTAAGCATATACTCCGAAACGTTGTGTTCCTCATTCACCTAATGAAGGAGTAAGTATATACTCCGAAACGTTGTGTTCCTCATTCACCTGATGAAAGAGTATGCATATACTCCGAATTTGTGTTCCTCATTCACCCGATGAAGGAGTAAGCATATACTCCGAAACGTTGTGTTCCTCATAATAAAGAAGTTGACATCCATATATTCTCTTCCTTATGTGAATCACTTCTGAATGCCTTTCAAAAACCTCATATTGAAGCCCTTGTGATACATATCTGAAACGTGAGGTTGATACATGAGGTTTTCAAAGGTTTTAACAACCTCCATAGAACACATAAGGTAATGTGTGCAAACCCCACTGTGAGATATATATTGTCGTTATTTTTGTATCACATGTACTTACATTGCACCGCCATTATGTTTTCAGACGGATTTCTTCCTAGAGCATCAGCAGTGGTACCACGCGTCAGTGGTCATGCAGGTGCGGGAAGTCCAGGGGGTTATGGAGTTCAAGGAGGCCGTAACAGTCAGGCAAGTCAAAGTGGTGGCAGTCAAAATGTTCAAGGAGGTCACATAGTTGAGGTGAATCAAGGTGTTCATGGAACTCACGGAAGTGGAGGTCAGGGGTATCAAGGAGGTCAAGTAGTACCAAGGGCTTCCTATTATCACAAGGCTCATATGAATCCACCCAAAACATTGCCCACCATTGACACAAACCCTACAATGAACACAGTTGGTGGACATTTACCCACTATAAACCCATCTGACACAGGCGCTGTCAGTTCCCGAAACCACCCTCATACACAAGGACGAAAATCCGTGGACATGATGACTGCTCTATCTAAATTCATCGCCCAAAGCCAAGGACATCCATCTACTAACCATGCATCAAATCCGTTTCCTACAGCAGGAAAACAGCCAGTTAATAACAGACCCCTGTCTCAAACCTCTGGTTCTGATCAAACAAGTCAACCAGGCACCCCAGATCTTTCTTTTGGTTTAGGTTTCAACAACAATGGCAACAATCCTGCGTCAATCAAGAAACCAGTAAATACGCAACCTGCAAATCAAGGCCAGTATTTGCCATCCATCAGCCAATTTCCTAAGACTAATTACCATGAAACCCCTTTGCAAAGGAAGAACGACATGCCGTCCCAATTTCTGCAGCCCACTGTAAATTCACAAACTATAAACCCCCCTACGTTTAACAATCCACCTGTGCACACAATGAACGCGCACTCGATGGACAAAACACAGATGAATGAATATCAAATTAACCAACCATCCAGTAATTCACAATCATTTAATCAACCACAGATGAATTCATTACCTGTGAATCAACCACCAACAGATTCACAACCTATTCACCTATTACCAATGAATTCACAAACGATTGACAAAACACCGATGAATGAATATCAAATTAACCAACCATCCAGTAATTCACGATCATTTAATCAACCACAGATGAAATCATTACCTGTGAATCAACCACCAACAAACTCACAACCTATTCACCTATTACCAATAAATGCACAAGCTATTGACAAAACACCGATGAATGAATATCAAATTAACCAACCATCCAGTAATTCACGATCATTTAATCAACCACAGATGAATTCATTACCTGTGAATCAACCACCAACAGATTCACAACCTATTCACCTATTACCAATGAATTCACAAACCATTGACAAAACACCGATGAATGAATATCAAATTAACCAACCATCCAGCAATTCACGATCATTTAATCAAACACAAATGAATTTATTGCCTGTGAATCAACCACCAACAAACTCACAACCTATTCACCTATTACGAATGAATTCACAAGCCATTTACAAAACACCGATGAATGAATATCAAATTAACCAACCATCCAGTAATTCACAATCATTTAATCAACCACAGATGAATTCATTACCTGTGAATCAGCCACCAACAGATTCACAACCAATTCACCTGGCACCAATGAATTCACAACCCATTGACAAAACACCGATGAACGTATTTCAAATTAACCAACCATCCAGTAACTCACAATCATTTAATCAACCGCAGATCAATTCACTACCTGTGAATCAACCCTATACGAGCTCACAACCTAAAGACCAATCACCAATGAAGTCATATCCAATAAACCAAAATTCCATGAACTCACAATCAGTGAACCAACAACCAATTATTTCACAATCTATGAATCAACTAAATATGAATTTACTACCTAAAAACCAATCACCAATGAACTCGAATCCAATAAACCACAATTCCATGAACCAACAATCAGGGAACCAACAATCCACAAACGCACAATTAGGGAATCAACTCCACATGAGTTTACTACCTAAAAACCAATCACCAATGAACTCGAATCCAATAAACCACAATTCCATGAACCCACAATCAGGGAATCAACAATCCACAAACGCACAATCAGGGAATCAACTCCACATGAATTTTCTACCTAACAACCAATCACCAATGAACTCATATCCAATCAACCAAAATTCCATGAACTCACAATCAGGGAACCAACAGCCTATTTATTCACAATCTATGAGTCCATCAAATCTGAATTCGCAGTCTTACAACCAATCCCCAATGAACGCATATCCAAATTCAATGCACTCCCAATCTGTAAATCAACAACCCATTAATTCACAATATATGAATCAACCAACTCTGAATTCACAGTCTAGCAACCAGTCACCCATGAATTCATATCCAATAAACCAAAATTCCATGCACTCCCAATCTGTAAATCAACAACCCATTAACTCACAAGCTATGAACCATCCACATATGAACTCACAAAATGTAAACCAATCACCAATGAACTCGCAACAGATGAACTATCCACAAATAAATGCACAACCTATGAACTCTGATCATATGAACCAGCCACCAATGAACTCGCATCAAATGAATCAACCGCCAATGAGCTCGCATCAAATGAACCAATCGCCAATGAACTCGCATCAAATGAACCAACCGCCAATGTACTCTCAGCCTATGAATTCCCCACCAGTGAACCAGCCTTCTTTCGACCTCCCACCTCTAACCCACCCTCCATTGAACCTCCCACCTCTCCAACATCCTCCCCTCAACCTCCCATCTCTCGAACAACCTCCGATGCTTCCACCAAACGCTGTATCTTACAACGGACGGCACAACGGTGCGCCAATGATGATGAATGGGTGGACCCCAGACAATAGGTTATCGTGGAGGGAGAATCTTCATATGGCCGACATGATGGACGCTCCAGATTTTCAGCAATATGATTTCATCAGAAACGTTCTTATGAATGAACAGAATCTCACCCCTATGGACAGAATGGAACTGAACCAACTAACCATATAATTCTGATGTGTATATTCGTATGTAGTCGGCCTTCCCAGTGACTAATCTCGAGATGTTGTTTCTCTCGAAGCCAAACAACGGCCCAGATTGATAGCTGTGCCTTGACTCCTTGCATTTCGTGAAAATGAGTAATATGACTATATATCACATGATGCAATAAGCTGGAAAAACAAAATGGTGTCAGATTTCATCAACAACCGTGGAACACATCAGTAACAGGTCGCTTGAGATGACATGAAATCTTAACTCACGTCAGATTCTGTGACTTACGAAATTATATCATATGCTACATCCTCCGCAGTATCAGGATCACATCGCCGTTGACAAAGAGAACTAAGTCCTCCTATGTGCCACCTGATCACTGGACATACATGAGCTTGTTTATAGGATGATCTTTCCATTTATACTTCTTTTTTATATAAAATGATATTATGAAGAAGTGTCATATTGCATTTGTGTTGTATTTGTCTGAGTGTCAACGGTTTGCCTGATCCAAAGATCTCAACGTTGTCAACATCGGGAGACTCCCTACTTTCTTAAAGACGTCGCATCTCCATATGTAGAGTTGGTACCCTAGCCACCCCCGGATTTTCTCGCCTTGAGTTCGAATTCATGATTCACACCCACTTAGCTTTTTGGTAGCATGTCTGCTTCATATTCGATCTCGTTGGTTTCACTTGAGAGATCTTTACGACCTGCACCACCTCGGGGTCTCCTCCCACTTTGAACTGTCACGCCGCGGTATAGTAGTTATGTAATACTGTTCATTGTGGCGTTAAACCAAACTCGTTCACTCACGTCACCAAAATATATATTACTGCGACTTGCACAAACTTCATGACAAAGAGAGACCTACGACTGTTGTGTGTATTTATTCTCCCTTCTAACGAGATGTCCTCACCTAACTTATTTAACTTACTAGTACTTATATTACTGTATAGCTCATACCTTTTGTATCCATTTACACAGTGTGCTAGAAAGACATGCACAAGTCAATCTTTCATTCTCAGCTCCTTTAACTGTACACGTGTTTGTAGAATATATTTTGTGCCCTTTGCACATGTAACAAGAGGGATGACTTCACTTTTCCATAAAATTAAATTTCTTTTGTGTCGAGCAATATTCCAGCAGCGGCAGCCTTTGGTGCCTTTCAAGGCCTCAGTAAAGCTTTCGAAAGGTTTCGTGACATTTCCAAAATGACGACCGATGCCATCCAAGATGCGTTTCATTGCTGGAAGCAATGTTGGTGGGGTAAACTTGCGGACATCGCGTTAGTACGCCACGGTAAAGATCTATGCTCGATTCCCCTCACGGATACAATGTGTCAAGCGCATTCTTTATGTTGCTTGCCGTCATATGGCCGAAATATTGGTAAAAGCGTTTCATAGTTGACACGCACACATTCAAGCATATTCGCTTCATATTACACATTGTTGGAAAGAGAGATCCAAAAATTGTCCCGATCACTTTGGTTTGTGATCGCCATACCATAGTCCGTGGATTTCAGCAAATTGGTAATCGTCTGCGACATGTGGTACTTTTGGTGTTCCTCCTGTTTGAGACACTCACTTACTGAGTGTAAAAGAGCTCTCATTTTGGATTAGTACGGGTATTTGTTGGGCGCTTCCCACACATTCATTAACTGAATATATTCAAATCAGGGAAATCTCTGATATGCGATGTGAGCAACGGGTCACATTGTCTTCTATATGTTGGCCACAATAATTAAATGTTTTTGTATTATAACTTGGGGGAGTGAGTAAGTAAGTGAGTTAGGTTAACACCGTTTCCAACAGTATTCCAGTTAAACTGAACTGTTTGATTAGCATTTTTTAAGAAGTTGTTAAGTAACATGAATACATGACACTCTGTTATGGAAAACAACTTATTTCATTCTTTGTACGACGTTATATGTATATATATATCGCAAACCCACTCACACGGACCAGTACATTCACTATTCACTAGATGTCAACATCTTGATTAATAAATACTTGACAATCACCTGATGAAAGAGCAAGGAGTAGCTCTGAAACGTAGTACCAAGAATAAAAACAATTGCTATCCATTATAAAGTGACATATATTCATTTTCTCCCAACTTCTAACTGCCTATGAAAGACTAGTTACGTAAAAGCATAGAAAGGATATTTTGTGGATGACAACTGTTGTCATGATGCGCCCTTTCAGTTCAAATCCTTATACCGTTCTCAAACACTCTTCATAAAATATCTTACAGTATTCCAGGTCGAAAAGAAGATTCTAAGTAGACCGGCAAGTCCCTGGTATTGCGAAAAAGTTGCACACTATGGTATTGCTGAACGGCAAGGGCGGAAAACCAAACTAAAGGTTCATAGGCAGATCTACAAAGCAGCACGTAATCCTGTTACTCAACAGATACGAACATCTAAAAGTGCCCATCACCTACAGAGAATGAAGGACAGTGATGATCTGCCAGAAGATCTTTACAAGTTTATATTTTCTCTGATGGGGAAGAAGACAAGATTCTGCTCAAATCACTAAGCTCCATCCAACTCGCCAATGATTTCAACAATTACAGAAAATCCGACAAAGTCTTGATAAACAGTCCTTAGCTGCCAGACACACTGACATTGTTCCAGATTGTCAACGTGGCGAGTCTCCAAAGGGTCTGAACTTGCATGATAGTTGTAATGGCAACACCATGGATGAACGATGAATTTGAACCAATCTCAGAGTTAGAGCTGCGGACATTTAACCAACATCCTGCCGACTTGATCCTATCCTAACAGATACTGTCATCGATCACCCTGATACTCTACTAGATTATCAATCTAAGTCTTTCATCTAGGGAAGTTCCAAAATGTTTCAAGGAGGCTATTGTCAAAACGCTCGTAGTCTTAACCCAAATCCTCTGGACAATTACCGACCGGAATCAAATTTACCCTTCATCACTAAAGTGCTTGAAAGGGCAGTGAACATTCGTCTCTCAGAACACTTGGATACAAGCAGCCTAATGGATAAATTTCAAATCTGCATCTAGCGCTGGCCACAGAACAGAAACTGCACTGAGAGTGTTAAATGAACTGTCATCAGCAGGCAGAGGGAATCTAGGCTTCCTTGTCCTACTTGATCTGTCTACTGCATTTGACACTGTAGACCATACCAAACTAATGGATTGTTTACACCATGAAATTGCCTTCTCTGATTCAGTGAAAAATCGTGGGATTCATCAGGACTGCGGCCTTACAATGGAACAGCTCCAAGATGCGTTTCTTTCATCTCCAGAACATAGCAAGCATTCAACATCTGCTCACATAAGATGCTGCACATCTCATGGGCAGATTTTTAGTCCTGTCAAGGCTATTGTAATATACTGAACCGCAAAGGAAACGTCACCATGGATAGATATATAAAAAACTTTATTTGTCCAAACACTGTAAACATACTTTGAGACATATTAAAAAATGAAACTTGGCAAAACTGATCATCAAGGTTGAAATTAAAGTGTCAACTGTTCTTAAAGTGAAACACAACTCTAGTCTCTGAGAAAATGGCATCACAAGTCTGGAGCCTGTAAATGGTCCTTACGTGGACTTAAAATGCATTGGCTACTTGCCGGGCGGTTTGTCCAGCTTGCAATCGTCCAAGGGCTTGGTGTCGCTGATTTCTTGTCATTCTTGGCATGTGGCAGAAAAATTCAATAACCAATGAATGTTATCCGATCAGGGTGGATTTTTATAGGGCAAGAAATGCATGTGCATTTAAATTTGCACGGGTCACCATGTCCGTTGCCGTGGTGCGTTTGGGCGATCAGTTATTATTGTCATCTGCTTTGGGGGTTTTTAATCATCAAATTTCATTTTTCCGGACAAGGTATTGTTAAATTTTACAAACTTTGACAAAAATTACCCAGATATTCAAATGACAACTTTTCATGCAATGTTACTTTGGTGACGTTTCTTTTGCGGTTCAGTATATATTGGTAGGTCACATCATCAACAGCTCAAGAGGCTTCAGCGCATACAAAACACAGCTGCACGCAATAGTACGATAACTTCAAAATGGTTGCCTCTCAAAGTTTGAACTGACTTTAAACTACTGACATTAGCCTACAAACGCTTCAATGAATCAGCCTCAATGTATCTCATGGAACGTTTGCCTTAATATACGCCATCCAGACCTCTACGTTCTGAAAGTGAACACCTGCTGTAAGTTCAAGAAACCCGTTTGAAGATGTTTGATCTCTAGACATGCACCCCTGGAGATTCCTAACCCCTTGACATACACCCCTGGAGATTCCAACCCCCCTTGACATGCACCCCTGGAGATTCCTAACCCCTTGACATACACCCCTGGAGATTCCAACCCCCCTTGACATGCACCCCTGGAGATTCCGAGCCTCTAACATGCACCCCTGGAGATTCCGAGCCCCTAACATGCACCCCTGGAGATTCCTAACGCCTTGACATACACCCCTGGAGATTCCAACCCCCACTAACATGCACCCCTGGAGATTCCAACCCCCCTTGACATGCACCCCTGGAGATTCATAACCCCTTGACATACACCCCTGGATATTTCAACCCCCTAGACATGCACCCATGAGGATTCCGACCCCATCGACATGGTCCCCTGGAGATTCCGACTCTCTCAACACAGTCCCCTAGAGATTCCAACCCCCTTGACATGCAACCCTGGAGATTCCGACCCCTGTGACGTGGTTCCCTAGAGATTCCAACCCTCTTGATATGGTCCCCAGGAGATTCCGACCCTCTCAACACAGTGCCCTGGATATTTCAACCCCCTTGACATGCACCCCAGGAGATTCCGACCCCCTTGACATGGTCCAATTGTCCAATGACATGGTCCAATTCAGACCCCCTCATCCAGTATTTTGTAAATAGAAGCGGTAGTAAAATATGGCATGTCTCCCCCGTAAAACTGGTGATGCCTGGAGAGTGATGCGACTGTCATAGCCGGCCCTTTACCGAAAGCAAACTGTGCCGTTTGAGTCAGGGCAACACACAGAGTAACTGTGTTAATTACCTAAATTCGTGGATAACCGTGGATCACGGTATTTATCGTATGACGTCACACAGCGGTACTTTTGATGTACACGCACTGCCACGCTTTGCTGACAAAAATGCTCCGAATAGCTGCATTACACAGAAGTACAGTCTAACAGTGTCCAACACTGAGATAATTAGCCCTGGATTACTAATACCAAATTTCATATTTACAAAACATCAAATAAATTCTATACCGTAAGCACCACCCTTCTCACATCTCGTCGACGGATTGTCTAGATTTCAATAAACATAAGTCACGTGACTTGAGGTGCTGCCGTCTGTTAAAATTTAAAAAAAAAACTATGACAACATTTCTGGCCATCTCGTATAGCTTTGTTGCACCTTCACGACAGGGGTACATAAGTTAATCGCCTACAGCTTTGACTAATGCTTTC